AGCTTAAAAGAGTATGAGGGAAGAAAAAGCAGAAGAAAGTCCTTTGACTAAGAGTTTCGCCCCCAAAAACCCAGACTGTGCTTTTAGAGAAGTTAAAGTGGAACGGCCTGTTTCATCCAGTTTGACTTTGCTGTGTCTGCTGCCCTTTATTCTCCTTCTTCTTCCCTAAATTGCCATCCACCCCCATTCTCCACCCCCTCCATGAGAAGAGCATTAGAATGCTTGAACCCATGAACTCTTCTGTCTCTTGGTATACCCGGTGTCAAAGCTCCCAGGGGACTCTATTACATGTGCTTTGAAGTCAGGTTTTTCTCTCTTAGATAGAGTAGCTATGTCCAAGGGGTGGGTGGAGTGCGGGGGCAATATTACAGGTACATATTTTGTTCCAAATCTGCAGAAATGCCCGGGGACTAAAAGCATTTCTTCAACATTGTTCTGTTTCCTGAAATAAAGGCCTTGTCTTGGGTGGGCTTTACCTGTGAGTTCTTCTCTCCATTTCTCCTTCTTTTAAGGGACCGTTCTCACTCTGCAGGTTGTAAGCCCTTAACCTAGTGATCTGAGAGTGTCTTCTCAGGTCTGTGTGTTTGCCTTGCACTCATTAGAGACAAGATTTGGGGTAGGGCTCAAACACACCTAAACCTTCAACCGTAACGTGCAGTTTGGGAAATGGAGTTTTCCCTATATTTAAATGATTTCAACAGGCATTCAACAAAACCCTTAACCCGGGCTAAAGAGACACAGCTGAGACCCAGGCTTGAGGAACACCCTGGAAACCCAACCCAGAATTGTCAACTATTCTTTTTTTTCTAAATAAACCAACATCAGTTCTTTCCAAAAGAATAGACCATAGTATAATCTTAAAACAAAACAAAACAAAAAGAAGAAAAGAAACAGCCTTAGAAGTTGATGTCATTACTCTTAAACCAAATTTTGAGGAGAAGCTGCAGTTGGCCAAGCTTTCAAATTGCATTCTACACAATTAAAGACAGACAGACTAGGTTTTACCTCAATTCAGTACCTAACACTGAACGCGGAGGAACTGTTCTTTATATTCTTTCTGATTGTTTGATATTCTTCAACTCAGGTTAGGAAATTAGAAGTTCAGGTCTCAGCTATGTTTCTTTAGCCTGATTTTGTTGAAGATTCCTTGAAATCATTCGAATATAGGAAACAGTCCATTTCCCAAACTGCATATTATGACTGAAGGTTCGGGTCTGCTTGCGCCCCACTCCAAAACTTGTCTCTCCTAGGAAACTGCTTGGAGAGTTGGGAAGAATTAAGTTCATCTTAGCTAACAACATGGGAAAATAAGTCCTACTGAGAAAATTAAAACTGTGCAATTCTAGAATTAATCTTCACACCATCCTATCTTATTTAATTAATTTGTTTGTTTGATTTTGAGGAAGATTGGCTCTCTGCTAACATCTGTTGCCAATCTTCCTCTTTTTTTCTTTTTTTCTCCCCAAAGCCCCAGTACGTAGTTGTGTATCATAGTTGTAAAGTTGTAGCTCTTCTCTATGGGACGCCACCTCCGCATGGCTTGATGAGCGGTGAACAGGTCCATGCCCAGGATCCGAACCCTCGAACCCTGGGCCGCCAAAGCAGAACGCGTGAACTTAACTGCTACATCACCAGGCCAGCCCCTAATTAATTTTTTATTGAGGTCACATTGGTTTCTGACATTATATAAATTTCAGGTATACGTCATTATATTTCGACTTCTGTATAGGCCACATCGTGTTCACCAGCAGTCTAGTTGCCATCCAGCACAGACACATGTGCCCCTTGACCCCTTTCGTCCTCCCCACTTTCCCTCTGGTAACCACTAATCTATCCTCTGCATCTATGTGTCTATTGTTGTTGTTTTTTTATCGTCCACACATGAGTGAAATCATACAGTATTTGGCTTTCTCTGATGTATTTCTTATTCTATCTTAAAGATGAGGAAGCTGAGGTCTCAATGACTTGTGGTAGCTTGCTGAAGCCACCTTCATGCAGTATTTCACAGCCTAATGTGCCTCCAAAGTGTAACTCCCTCGAGAGCCTTTCTCTGTTTCTCTTCCTTCTGTCGCCTTAGGCTGTGGATGATGCATCCTGGGCCACCACCTCGAAAACACTGAGATCCCTGCTGTAGCCCCTGGGGAAAGTACCCGGTGCAGGGACCACCCAGTTTACACCTCTGAATCCTACCTTGTGGCTTACTCAGTGCCTTACATATAATGGACATTCAGTTTATTCTTTGTGAATAACTAGATTACCAGGAAAAAAAAAATGCTTTATGGCAGCTTCTCTTTAAAGCATTCTTTGGAGATCATTTTGCATGTTTAATGATCTCTCCTTGATTTTATTGTTTTGTGAATCTGGGATTTTCATAGATGAAGTTTGTTCCTTATTCTCAATGTATGTATAGATCTTTGTTCTATAGATTGATTGGAACATTACTGAAGCTTATTAAAAGTTTAGGAAATTTAGCATTGTGGTTAAAAAATTGCCTAGATCAGAGTGTGTCCTTTAGTTGGTACTTTTCCACACAGAAATCCTCAACTGGCTGCACAGGGCTTCCTCCCTCACCCCCATCCCATTAATTGATTTGAGTCTCCGTTTACTTCACGTTCACATGCCAGATTTTAACAGCAAACAAACAGCCCTGGGATGTGTTTTCTGGATGCTTGGGCAATGCTTAGACTGGTTCTGTATTTTTCCTGACTCTTCCCCCACCCCGTTCTTTCCGTTCTTTTAAACCCGTTCTTCGGAGGCTTGTTTACCAGGTTGGAGAGCTAAAGGCGCGGCTCGGGTTGTGTGAACGTAGTGCCCTCTGGTGGAGTTTTCTGAGAATTACAAACCTTCCCCCAAGCTTAAGAGTGGGAAGTTTTTTTCTTGACTGGCCTTCACAGGGTGGCCTCTCCGCTACGTCTCAAATATAGTAAATTAGTAACTTGCAAGTTTATTACCTACGCTGGACATTTAAGAGATGTTATGTTGGGGGTATCAGTTGATTGCCAGAGGCTTGTCTATCAATATAAAGTTAGCCCTCAAATGACTGGAAACGAGCACCTGGCATCTGTGCTTTTTTCCTTATCTCCCATCAATGTGCACGAGAAGTAAAGAGAAAAGGAGGTCCCCCAAGAAAGATAATTGACAAGAGTCTAGGAACCAAGAGTTAAGGAGAAATGTCAAGGATCAGAAATCTTGGTCACAAACAAGTCTTTCCTCAGCTCTCACTTGGATCCCCAGCCCAGAAATTTAAGACCTAGCCGGAAGTGGCCAGTCGGCCAGACTCTCAATTCCAGGGGAGACTAGGGGCTGAGGGTCGGGATGGACAGAAAGTGTAACATAGACACACCCTCTAGGGGGATCTAGACTATTTACACCATGCCACTGCTCCAGCTGGCTGACCTTTTTTCTTTCTTTTTTTTTAACAGTTTCATTTTGAGGATCACTCCCTTCTCCATTGCCTTTAGCAAAGTCACTGTGACCCAGAGGACACAGTCACTGGCTTGAGTCAGACACACAGGCACTTGAATTCCTGTCTTGCGTCATACTGGCTGTAAGTCTTGGGCAAGTCAACCTGCTGAGTCTCAGTTTTCTGGAGGTTCCTTATAGGAAAGCTTGTGAAGATTAAAAAACAATAACAAAATAAACAATTCAGAAACAGGGTAATGGATTTTGCTATCCCAAGAACAAGGAAACGAGTAGGCTCATTTACTAAGGAGATGACTCAGGCTTTAGGACTGTTGGTGTTTTTCAGAGGCTCACAGAACCTCGGACCCATCTAGACCCATCTAGGCAACACATTTAGAAGGAACAGGGGTCGGCGGAGGTTCTGGAAGCAAATAAGCCTTTATTAAGCATCACCTATGCTACATGTTTGGCGCACACATGGAAAATTATGTAGCTTGGATATGGCAAAATCCTTAAGTTTTAGGAGCCTACACTTTAGGTGGTGAGGAAGAACCTCCCCAAGGGACATGATTTCAGAAGCCAAACAAGGCCAAGTCTATCAGCTGGATGAGCAAATTAACAAGGTGGGTTTGGTATAAGTGCCTAAGAGTTCCAGAACAAAGGAGTCAGCAAGAGTTCTTGGAGAAGGCCTCCTTGGGGGTGCTCACTGGGGTGGAAGTGAAGGTGGGTTTTATGCTGGGTACCAAATAACGTGGTGAAAATGTGATTGTGGGATAGCTTTCCATGAGATGCAAGGGAGTGACATTTCCAAAGACCCAAGAATAAGGTTAGTAAATTACACGTGCAAAGGCAGCAGTGATGTGGAATAGGTAAGCTTTCTCGGGAACAGGAATAATAAAATACGAAGTTGGGAAAGTACTGAGGCATTTGAAGTCTATAAAAATTTGAATTCTGAAAATTTGAAATGTTAGTATACTAAAGCATTAATAAAGTCTCACTTTATTGACCTGAATGTGAAAAGAAGCAAATCCTTAAAAATTGGCAGGTGGGGGGTGGGGAGGCAAAAAGAACATAATTTCAACCTGTATAAATGCATTATTAATTCTGTTTATGCCACTTCCACATGGTGGCACCACTTTGGCAAGCAAACAGATGTACCCACTTTTCCTTATTAGGATGAAATTTGAATGATTCCGGTTTTGAATTGTGAGAAGTCATTATTCCCTCAGGTACAGGGCCATCACTTGTGCCTGGAGAAGCAGCTGGTGACAGCAAGACACCTGGACTCCGCATTCTTCCTTTCTATTGCATTCTCTCCCCCCAGGGCTTTTCTTGCACCCTTACCTATTCTTCTGGTCGCCCCACCACCTCCACCCCTACCAATCCCGTCAGTGTCCCTTTCACGGGCCCCTCTCTCCTCATCTCCTCAGCGATTAGAGGCTCAGGGGACAGGAGATGTACCAGGACATAGAGACCAACCGCTCTCCTTCATGGCCATTGCCTTAACTGGGGACCAAAGAGGGTACAATGCCCAGGTCTGAGAGAACCCACAAGGAGGAAGATGGGGTGGACGATGTGTCAGGCATCTGGGCCCTGTCTCAGGGTGAGCCCTTTGAAAGGAGAAGAACCTGTTCATCTTTCTCTGCCTGCTCCACTTCCTGCAGCAATTTGTAGAGGGGTCCTCCCATGCTCGTGTCATGTGGAGCTTCTTTAGACCACGTGGGCTTCAAGCTGGGACTGTGACAATGATGCCAAAAGGAAGAGATGCCATAGATTCCCAACAGGCATAAAGCATTGATCATCACATGCCAGCAGAAGAAGGTGGTGATAAACATGATGTCGCTGATGTCATCGTCCTGCCATGGGTAGCCAGTGACTGGTCTGTACAGAATAAAGGCTGCTTGTATCAGCCAGGAGCCCATCATGAGAAACAGAAAGGTCTCAATCAATGAGAGGTGAAACGTTTCAGGAGCCCACAGCTCTACGGTCAACACCACCATCAGCAGGAACACCAACAAGATGAGCAGAGAATGAATGTGCAGCTCCACCCCTGTTGAGTCCTGAACATGTGACACCAGCAGCAGCAGGAGCACGTAGAAGGTCAGGACCAGGGTACCTTTCTCTAGGACTACACATCTCTGAGGCAACAAGTTCTTGCTCGTGACATCTACACAGCCGTTGAGGGTTAGGAGGATGAACATGGTGAGGTGCTGCCACTGTTTGGTGTGCATAAATTTTGGTGGCATCTCCCTGTTCATCAGCTTCAACCCTCTTGTAATGCAGCTGATCTCATAAGCTATCAAGATGGAGCCAGTCACCATCTTCCACAAACCTCCATAGGATATTTTCCACAGCCTGGCCCATCTTCCCTTGTTCCTGGGAGGGCGTGAAGGATACAGGAGAGAGTCATTGAGTATCGCAGCTTTGGAGACCACTATTGCCTGATACAGTCCATAGAAGACTAGAAACAGCCCTGGGCACACATGGCCGATAAAATTTCCCATTGAGCTGCAGATCTGGCTGATGTAAGAGAGAAGACAAAACTCGGACACGTCCACACCTTCCGGAGACACTTCAAGGTCTGAGTTTTGGAAGAATTGCCTTCTACCAACTTTTATCATCTCACCCCACCCACTGCTCCCCCACAGAGAGGAAATGTTTCTTGAAACAAGCCTACGCCTTTGATGGCCTAAAGCCTCATTGTTCCATTCCATTCTGGTACATTAGAAATTAACTGGCTTCTGCCAAAGAAGAAAACTGGTGAATGTGCTTCTAGGGGCTCCCCTCTATAGCCTTGAGGTGCTTCTGGTCACCTTGTCCCTTTCCTCCATGACTTCCTTCCCCTTGTCTTACCCAGCAATCAGAGGACAAGGAAAGAGGAGCATGGGATGGCTGTAGGGGTTGCCAAGGTGACTCGAGGAAGCCTGGACACTCACAAGCCCTTGAGTATCCTTCAGTACTTCTCAGATACAACTTTGGTCCAATTCCAAGTTTTTCTTTGTGGACACATATATTTATAAACATTTGGATATGTGACCATGTAATGCATGCTTACTGCCTATCTGACTTTTCTATTCCTCTCTGATAGACACATTCTGAAGATCACCAAGAAAGCTCCCTTCACCTCTTCCCTTTACCTCTTCACATCCCCACTCCCACGCCCCCCCACTTCAACAGCTCTACTGGCCAGTAAGTGGATCTGAAAAGTTACCCTTTGATACTGATGTTAGGGACTGTGACTTTTTGTAGTGTGTCAACCTAACTAAGCTTGAGCTATGCTTCCCAGAATTTGCTTGCCTATGTGGCTCCAGGTTGGGTTGGCTACAAGAGAAATTGACATGAGAATGTGAAGGTGAAGTGAAGCAGCAGCCTAAGCATACTCTGCAGGTGGAGGGTGCCAGGTGCCCCTGTAGCTCCCGCATTCTGTTACTGAGCTGCTGGCTCACCTCCTTGGTGTGGGCAGCAGCCAGGCCTGTAGCTCCCTCAGCTTCTCTGGGTATGAAGGGCACCAGCTTCTTCTGCCGGTCGCCTGCCACCGAAGTGTGAGGTGGTGAGAGGCAGACACGGGCTCCAGTTTGTCCTCACAGGTTTCAGTTTGTGCTTGCTCTTCCCTAACTTCATGTAACATCCTTCTTCCTGCCTGCTGCCACATTGACCTGAAATGGCCTCCGGCCCATTATACAGCAGAGAGGCAACAGCCTGCCAGAGACTTCTTCACTACAAATGTGTAAGTTCTAATAGCCATAAGAAATCCATATTCCATATCACTCTGCCCCCATGATCCATCTCTGACCAGGGCAAGGGATTACGATGTAATCCTTCACATTCAGATACTGTCAAGAGGAGTGACTCCAGTGAGCTGGTGTGGCCATGTGAATTAGCTCATGAGCTTCATTTATCTATTGCTTGACTAGTGTCTAATGCACCTTGGAAGACAGAGTCCTAGGTATTGGGTAATAGCCAGCTGAGTATAAGGCAGAGAGGCAGAGAAAAGGTACAGGGAATGTGAGGCATGCCCTGGGCCCACAGATGGATCTGGGTTTATTGCAGGAGGTACATGGAATGGGATTTTCTCGGGGGGTGATAATGGTGGTGAGGGGAGAAGAAGTTCGTCACTCAACGTGAACCATGCTGACATTACAGTCTTCTGCATAATCATCTGTCCTCACAGTACTAGCAATGCTGTGGGGCAGAGAGGCAGCACTTAGATGCTGAGAGTGCCCCTAGTGGAGAGGAGAATTTATACCCAGATCACAGCACTGTCTCTGTGCCTTCACTCTCCTACAGGTACCTACTCTTTCTCCAGTCCACTGAATTCCAGGAAAATCAAATTTCTCTGCCCTTGAGGATGTCAGTAGTTCAGATTGCTTCTTGCTCTTGAGAGATTTGGTGAGCCTGGAGATTGAGTGTGAACGCAGGTTGGAAAAACAAAACTTAATTCTGCTTTCTGAAGGGATTTGCTTTGCTTATTTTAAATTTCAATTTTAGGTGTTTTTATTCAGTTAATGTATAGTCATGGTAGAAAAATCAGGTAAAATATATAAGCAAAAACAAGAATATTAGAAATCATCTGCAATTCCATAATCAGGAGGTGGCCATTGTCGCCGCTGAGGTCCTGAAACGTAGTTTTAGGAAGACAGCAAGAGGAAGTGGAAATGCATTGACTGCAAGTCAGAAATCTGGGTTCTCATTTCCAGTTCTCCCTTGATCTGCTGAATGTCATACGCTTTATCTGAAAAACTTGGGTGTTCAACTTTCTATTAAAGTGACAATAAAAGGACGTGAATATTGTTGCACGGAAGTGAGCATCTTCCTCTCCTGTCTCTTTCTCCCTTTTGGTGAATTATCAAAACGCTTGGATAGCACTGCAGAGCTCAGTGCTCAGAGGGAGGAGATTCAAAGCGAAACTCTGAGTGACATTTCTGACATGAGTGAGGGAGGAGAGAACGCCAGGGATTCCTTTGGTTTTTGGATTTGCTCTGGGAGAAGCACAGGGTCCATCGCTCCTCTGAGTATCAGCAGGGCTGGGCCGCAGAACACGTGGACGGAGGCCTCAGAGAAGCTGCATTTGGTCACACTAATATTGCATCTGGTGTTTTGAGGCTGTGGTCCAAGTGAAGTAGGGGCAGCAGAGCTTACTCCAGCTCCCACACTCGTCTCCACAGTTGTCCCTGGCAGCTATGAGCCAGTGGCCAGTGGAGGAGAGAACAGCAGCACTGACCCAACAGCAATGCGAGGTTGAAAGTGGTGTGTACAAGGACAAGCAGCCCCACTTAAGGTCCCATCTGGGATGCTCAGGTCCACACCTTGGCCAGGTGCCAAAGCTACCTAAGTTCACCAAAGTTGTTTAATGAACAACAGTTCATTAAAACACAAACATTCTCGTCTCAGACTTTGAAGATAGGAATCACCCATCCCAAACCAGACACTGCCCACAAGTAGCCGAGAAGGAAGCCAAAGGTGGTGAATGATTAGCAGAACAGGCAAACAGCTCCAGAGTCTGTGGACACTGAGTGCCTGGAAAACTCTTTCATGAGGAAAACTCGGCTTGTACACGGAAACCCTTGGAGGTCCTTCATGTCCTGGCTGCTCCACGGTGAGACTCCCCTCAGAGCTGCCCCTCTACACGTCACCCCCCTTCCTCATGTACTTGAGGGGCCCCAGGCACAGCCACTGCCACTTGTCTGGCATGAAATACCAGAATGAGCAAGAAGGTTTTTAGGAATTCATTAAACATGAATTTACTAACTGCTGTGGATTCTACTGAGTGTAGCAGGGCATATGACAACGTATAAGACGTATTTCTTGTCCTCAAAGAGCTTACAATATAGTTGAAGACACACACTCTGCACACACACAAAACACAGACATTAGAGAACTAATTAGACTACCTCCTTTCCATAGAAATTGAATGTCACATAAGGTAAACTTTCTAAAAGCATCATTAAAAAAGCATAAAAAGGTGAAATTAATTTTAATGAGATTATGTTTAACCCAATATATCCAAAATATTATTTCAACATGTAATTAATGTAAAAATTATAAATGAAGTATTTTAGATTCCCTATTTCATGCTAAGTCTTCAAACTCCAGCATATATGTTACACTTACAGCACATCTCAGTTCAGACAAGCCATATTCAAGTGCTCAGTAGCTACCTGTAGTTAGTGGCTGCCATATTAGATTGCACAGATTTAGACACTATAGAATGACAGGTTGAGTAAATTTTAAAGTTTTAGTGAAAAGAACAGTTCATGGAGGAGGTAGAATTTTGGACAGAAATGGCATCTAGAGAGCTACACTATAAACTTCTCAGGCTGTGGGATTTTAGTATGGTGCTTTCCAAAAGCATCTCTTAATTTACCTCCTTTCTGTTGAAGAGAGGCATTGTCATCATCATCGTCATCATCATCATCAAAAAATGATTGCAACTCACCTTGCTGCAAGGTAGAAATACAGCGTAGGAAGAGAGAAAACCAGAGGCTGGGGGCTCGAGCAGAACCACACAGGGTGTGGGTCCATGGAAATTGGTGCAATGTCAGAGACAGCCCATCTGTCCATGCACCAAACTTTGATTTTATTTCAAGTAAGCGTTACTAAGCCTTGGGGTTTGTCACTGACTTACCAAAACAAGCCTCACAAGAGATGGAAAACAACAGTCTAATTTCTTAGTTTGAAAAGACATGTATGCTTTATTTCTCCTGGCACACCACCTCATAATTTTTCTCTTTGCCATTTTCTATAATGTGAGCTTTATACCTCATTGCATAACCATGACTTTGGTTTCACAGTTTATATAATTGATTTCAGGTACTTTTTGACGATCACATTTCAACAGGTGCACATTTCTTTTCTTCTGGAAACTTTTGGCAATGTGGAAGCACATATTCACCTTACCTCTGTTAACCTAGTTCTTCCCTAATACTATGCTATTAATTCATACCCGGGGCTGAGGCCAGAACTCAAGGACTCTGAGTCTGTTTTTCTACAGATCGTTTCTCTTCCAAACCAGAATATGCATCCCCAAATTAGGAGTTTAATGTCTGCTCCCTCTTGTTCAGGATTCTTTATTCCGTAATTTGAGAACCCAACTGTAAACTCCAAAATTCCTTGCGGGAGTTACAGCTGTCTGACCACTGAATATTCTTGCTCCCCTCCCACAATGTAATGTTGCTGGGAAATTGCTGCCCAGCCAGGGACCACATTTCCCAGCCACTCAGTGACTGAGTTTGGGGCCAGTGGAATGTGTGTGGAAGTGATGTACACCACTTCAAGACGTGGCCCAAAGAAACCTCCCTCTTATTCCTCACCCTTTCTTTTTCCATATGTGCTGGCTGAATACAGAGGACTTTGAGGCCCTGGAGATGAACAAAGTCACAAGATGGGAGGAATCTTGCTTCTGAAAGACTAGGTGGAAGGCTGTCTACTAACTAGGAATGCTGACATTTGACTTTATGAGTGTGGGAGAACTAACCTGTTGTGTTAAGCCAATAAGATTTAAGAGTTTATTTGTTTTAAATCAGTTAATTAATGTACATTATCTACCAAGCCTCCAGGAGGCCCATTGGAAGCTCATGAAAATTCAACTCCTGGCCCTCAACTTTGATGTGCAAACTACCTGAAGGATTGATTACTCCCACCCAGCTCCCTCCTCTGCCTTCAGTGTCTCAAAGTCTAGAATTCTCATGTGCCCTGTCCACACCACTGTTTCTGGGGCCCTGGAAACTAAACTCACAAAGGCTGCCATATGATTATAGACGTGGAGCACAAGAACTTGATGGTCCTGAAGCTTCTCATTCTCATTAGGATCTCTGCTTCATTTTGGATACAATCTTCCAGTAACAGGGCCAAGATATA